CGCCGCGAATTTGCCGCGCGCACCCTCGGACGCACGACTTGACCTTCCCCCGTCGAGTAGTCCCCCGGTCGACGCGCGCGCTCGGGGGTTGGCCGTCGACTATGAAAGCAGGCACGCAATGTGCAAGTCAATGTGATCGTAGGTCAATGCCTCTGTTAGAACAACCTCATAGCGCCAAATTCCCTTCGGTCTGTGGGTCCTGCCGATCGCTATCGTTTCTACAGCTGGTATTGCCTTTTGTATTTTTTGAAAAGCACAAAAGGTGTTTACTACCTGTGAAATCCAACCAACTCGTAATGTTATACATCTTAGAAGCGAAGGTTATGGGCTACAGCAGGAACCTTGAGGAATTTCTGCTCAAAGATGGCGAATGAGCGACATGCATTGCTGGTGGCGGGCAAGGACTACGGCAGTTGAATCAGCACTTTAACGGCTCGATCAAATGAAAAGTGAGTTATTACCTGGCTATTATGATCTCTTTGTTTTTTATTACTACTTTGTTTATTATTGAAAATGTTTACCGGAGGTGAGCCGTGAAAGTAAGCTCGATAGGAAAATGGCAAGCCATAACTACAGGATCCCAGATACCGGATAAGTATGGATCTTAGTATAACATCGGGCTGAGAAACTTTTCGAAAGATTATGACTCCGCTCCAATTCCTTTTCACGTAGCAATAACAAACTAACACTCAGAAACAAAAATTGGTATTAGTAAGCTATTGCGGAAATGAAATCTGAATTCAAACGTTGAATGTCGTCGAGTGAGAAGGGGTTGTCAGCGAAGAGCCGTGTATTTTCATACTTTCCTGTTTCCTGGTGTTTTCCTCCCAACTGGGTGATAGAATTAGAGAAGGTAACGCTTTTCTTTGGTTTGATGTTGGACAGATTTTCATAGGACAGATTGTAAACATTAAAACTATGAAAATTACAAGAAGAGGAGACGATTCATCACGTTACTAGTACAACCGAAAACTCTTAAGCCAGTCAGGATGAGTTCCACCGTAAACTCACCTTTGCTTCATATTGTTGCTAATTGTAATGTCTGAAATAGCCATATTTATGTGTAGTAATAGTAAAATGGAGCGATAATGGGTTAATNGCGCTCGATGGAGTTGTTCAATGTTTATGAATAAATGAAACCTTCACATAGCCATAAACAATGCAACTCAACAGTTTCAAAGAATGATTCATCGGCTTTTATCATTCCATGCTAAGTTGCCTATGCTTTTAGTATGCTTTGATCAAACAACGTTATCAGCGAACACTCCGATCAAATTCGGCTGTGCCTAACGTCATTCTGGCACAAGGGGTGCCATTAACGAGTGAGTCAATGTCGTGGTTTTTTTTTTGTTCGCCATTGATTTCACAATGATCCTTGTTTGAACCCTCAACATCAGCAAATGGTCAGTGGTCATAAAGCTCTCGGTGTAGAAATGATTTTCAATTTTAGACCAGTGGACATCCAAAGAGATATGTTTATTCTCGTGTTGGCTGCAATTTCCTTATGTTCCTCTTCAGAGATGAGTGCGTTTGTGTTTCCTCTAGTAATTCATACCTACTGTTGATTTATTCTTAACGTATGATTACTATTATATATTATATTATATTATATTATTATGGATGTGCTGTGCAGTGTTCCTGACCTAAATTTTAGGTATTTTTCGGGAGAACTGGCAAAGGAAAAGGATTTCTCAGTGTTGAGTAGTACTATTGATGGGAATATTACAGTTGTGTTGTTCAGAATAAAAGATGTTATTTTGAGCTTGCCGCCCGCCGAACCTTGAGAGGAGTATCCTAACTCGCTTAGTTTCAAAAACTACTTCGGTTTTTTAATTTCTAATTGTAACCTGATGGCCACACTACCTATACCTGAGTACGCCGTGTAATTCGCGCACTGTTTTCACGTGCATTCTATTCATTTATCTGCTTTACACACTTTTTTTTAACACGACCTCTTGTTGGTAATACTGGTGCTACTATTATGTGTATCAGCCATCTCTGGTAGGCAAAAATAATCTTTCTACATTGGTGGGCGGTGCCCTACAACCTGAGCTCGACATTCGGTATGAGTGTTATTTGAGTATACTTACGGTGACGCTCCGCAGTTGCAGTTCTTGCCACACTTACCACCCCGTATCCTTGCCCAAGCGTTTTTTCTGAAGCATCATATATTTGACAGGTGGTTGGAGACGTGGTGCAGTGACACGCATAAAGAGATAGCCCCTTGTATGTGCTGTTGACACCCAATTGCTTGCGGCTACCGTCAGTGAGGGCATTTATAGTACCTGCAGAGTTGAGCGTCAGAACCCAGTTTATGCGTCCGTGACGGCTGCTCCAAGTCTATGTCCAACGCAGATATGCGCGTTCAAATGCCCAAATCAGCGTTCTGACGCAGGTAGTATGAATGCGCTAAGTAGAAAATAAGTGCGGCTATCGGTGCGATTATGTGGTGCTTTTTAAAGGCCAAATTCGGCGAAAGTGTTGAATACTTCGCACCCTAAAATTGGGGGTTTCCAATCATTCTTTGCATTCTATAACTAAGTCATTTACGCATAAAAACTTGTGCTCCTATTATTTTCTTACCTTTGATATTTAAGGTGCTGATGCCTACTTCTACGAGGTACAGGGAAGTATCGCAGGTGTCACCGAGGGTCTCCATACTTTCGAAGAGGTCCAAAAAAAAGTAAATTTGGAGGTAATGTTTTGGTTTGTTTCTAAAATTTTATAATGTACACGAAATGTGAGAAAAATAGCGGGAAACTCTAGAATGAAAGTCAAGGTTTATAGGCACAATTCATGAAAAAATGGTTTCTGAGATTCTTCCTCAGGATGAACCTGTGATTTCCAAGGATACCACAGGGGAAACTGTCAGATCGGGAAACGGCTCCGGCTTAGCGTAATAAGGGCATCAAATTCGGCATAGCTGACATACATACCCAAAGGCAATGAAGCAATTTTGTCATAGTCAGGGTTATTTTTCTCCGAACTTTGAAGATTTGAATATGTTATTATTAGATATTTATAGCATCATTATTTCCAGAATGTGTTTACGTAACGAAATTTCTCTGGCTCTCGCATTATTACCATAAGCGAGTAAGGTGTTTTTGGAATGTCTTTTAGATTTGATATGTCCTTGCTTCAGATTTCTTCCTTGACTCGAGGTCGCGACATTACTGTGGAACTAGACGAGTTGAAGTGAGTAATCTGTCTTGCGGGAGTTTTTTCTGATGGAATAGAGTTTTATTGAAAAAGGCAGCCGATTAACCCCTGACAACTCTTGTAGAAGTCCCGATGTCGGTATATGACCTGTTTATGCCAAATTAGCAGTATGGCCAAGTTTAAAACGCGTAATTACGAAGTGGTGGAGGCTTGCTTTTGGGCATTCAAAGTCCCACTCTCTAGTCCTCTTGGTTTCTTCAAGTCTTTCATTTTTCCACTGTGAGCCTAGCTGACAGTAGACTCGTATTGAAAGTCATAGAGCTGGCCGAAGTCAGTGGGCCCTGATAGTGTGATATGGGTTTTAAGGCAATTCTGGTTAGCACGACATTGTAGCGCATGGCGTATCCGTGATATCGTGATGGAAAAGGCGACTATGTATTGTTTTAACAAAGTTAAACCGGCTCACAAAGCAGAATTTATTTAGGAGTAATTTGGGCATTCACTCAGATGGGATGGTGTTCCATGGTTACGTGACGACATCGATATCTGATCGGAATGAGCTAGTCGTTTTACTTCAGTATGTGCCGAAAATCGCCATCGTTTTTCTCGCTCCAAGAGGTGAGCATTGAATATTTCATCTTTGTGGACCTTTATTCTTACGCACACCAGTAGTGGCACCTTCAGTTTGAAACTTCCGCTAAATCCTTTCTTTTCTACTCGATGGTACTTAAACATATGAACCAAGTGATACTTTCATCTCCTAAACGCTCTTATCGGGTCTTTCCGCCTTCAATTCAGTTTTTTTTTGCTGGAAACCTGTCTAAGCATATGAAAATGCGAGTAAGCTTTTTGGCCCTTGTGTGGAGTATTGCTTTGATACTCACCTGTTATACTTCCTACTTGCAGAATCCATTCCAAGTCCCAAGACACGGATTGTACCTCCGATGTGGGAGAGGGCAACAAACTCTCGTTGTGATGATGGCAGCATCCAATTACCGAACAATACATGCCTTTGCCAACCGTATACATGGGGCGCCCAGTGCACACAAGTGATGTGAGTGATTTTCAGATTTCAACTACCTAGTGCTATCATAATTTTTCATAAGTTTTGTTTAACAGTGTGAAAACATTGGTATCAACATTTGATGGCATTTGGGGTCGTTTCTTGAAGGTGGAGGTAGGTTTTAATGCAATGTTTAATCCAAAACTCTCCAAAAGTTTATCTGAATGGAATTTGATCAATGCCTAAAAAATTGTCTTTTCAAAATTTCCATTAATTTAATAACGCGAGCCTACAGTGGGGTTTCCTCTAATTTCATGTAAAAAATACTTGCGGGGTGGGATCATGACGGGGTTAAGTAGTGCCCATTCTTTCTGAACTCGATTTACTGCGAGATCAACAGTGATTCAGATGTCAAAATTTCGGACGAGCAGAGAGTAACGGACGTTGTACCTGCGCACCCGGTTACAATTCCCAGTTTTGTGAAAATCGTTAGTTTCCTTTCGAAACTACGTATATGAGTAATTGAGAATTAATGTGCTGAACGAAGGTTTTCAGGTTCATTTCGTCCGGCTGTAGAGAGCGATATTGACTTGAATACCCGATCTCTGGTGATAATATTCTCTTTGCGCAGTTCCATGTATGACGTATTCAAAACGTTTCAAGCAAACCTGCCAGCCATGGCCGCTGGAATTGCAGGTCCTGAGAACAACATAGGCACCTACCTGTTCTGGGGATTCGTACTGACAGGTTAGCTTGTTCAAGTCATGTTCTCCTCGAAGAGATTAGATGTTCAGATAATATCAGTTATTTAATTCAGATGACAACGTTATGTCATACTACGTTGCTAGTAGCAAGAACTTGACTGATTTGAATGCGATTTTCGATATGCTCGTGTTCTCTCCGGCGTCAAGTCCCCAGCCATTTCTCCAGCAACTGATTTCTGCCCAGCAAACGTGAGCATTTCTTCAGTCAGAACAGTTTTCGCTACATAATATGCCTCTTATAATATTTTATGGCAAATGGCTGCTCTCCTCAAAAAATAAAGAGGAAATTCACGGTAAGCAGCGTTTTGACATCTATCGCCTTTGTGGAACTAACACGCAAACTTTATCCTGACTACAGTTTATAAGAAAATTCAAAAGAAGCGCAAGAGTTCACTAGACAAATGTATTATAAAAAAAGCCGTTCAAGTAGAATTCATAGTCGCTCTCGCGCCAGCTGCCCTGTAGAAGCTCCCGCTGGATCGGTGGACAACCGCACTACGGTTCAGCTGTCATGATCTGTCCCGGAACTAGCGCAGCTCTTGGAAGCTCGCAAGTGTGAGGTCTTTGCAGCTTTGGTCCCCCGCGACGCCTCAAATATTTTGGAGCAGCCTTCACATTCGTTCTAGCTGTTCTCGATAGCAAAACTATCGAATTAATGACCGTGACTCATTAGCTGCGATGACAAACAGTCGCCATTTGGGCTTACTGCGAATGCTGTCTTACAAAGGGTTTTCCTTGACATAACTGCAGCAGCGGGACGAAATTTATCATGCCTAACCTAACCTTAGAAACCTTCAATTTTCATATTCGGTACTCTACAGAGAAACCTACGATTTGACTCGAGTAAGATTGGTGGGTTTGGCTTTTCTGGAACCAAAGTTATCGTGAATAGCCTTTTGAGTTCTTTGACGGCCGGTGTTTTTAGGATAATTTTTTACCTGTCATTACTTCGAGATATTAGTTAACAACTGATGAGATACAATCCTGTTATCACTGGTCTCTATTAGTCACATCTAAATGAACTTCTCCAGGTATATCAACATTGAAGCATTCTCAAATGTGCTTTTCTTTGCTGACGTGGGTGCAGGCGACGCTACCCCACCTAGTGACTTATTCTCTTTGAATACCCTTGAACAACAGCTGATTTCTATTTCGACTATTTGGAGGAGAAAGGTTAGTTGAAAGTGGACTATGGCTCATGTATGCCTTGCTGAAAGTTATCTAGTTGTTTTGATGATTTTTTAACGCCAACTAGTTACTTATTTGTTTATTTGTCGTGGCATTGCACGTGTATCTAGTAAATGGACATGTTTTGAATTAAGTACATATACTGAAGTGGCAAAAGTAATACTGTGGGATCTAACGACAGCATACCCAAAAAAGGGTTTCATCACAAATCGTGAAGGTTATAAAGTATGTGAAATGTGAAAGTTGTCCGAACTTCCAGGGGACAGGATACGAAAGATATCAGACGCAGCGCTAGTGCATTTATCTCAGAGGCGGTCCATCATCAAGCCAATATAGTTCTTTTTTGTTTTCGGAATAAGGTTGTTGTAAAAGGGGTTACGAGCAGTCAAAACGTACAGTATTATCAGGGCGAGGAACGGCGTGAAGATGATGCCTTAAGTAGCACGAACTTTGGTAACTTCCCCAATAATGACGGGCGTGGGGGAGAGGATACCGAACACAGAGCCTTCCCACTCATTTGTTGAAACTTCAAACTGAGGCCTTCGTGAACTCAGAAGTGAAAGTTCCTGCACATTACTTACAAAGCCAATTCGAATTGAATTGTTTTTAGGCTACTATAGTATTAAATATAATTAAATTTTGCTAGGGTAAGCGTTGAAATGAACAAATACTGTACCAGTGATAAGTAATACCAGATGGCCGAAGTAGTCGATGAAAAGCGGAAAGTCAATGGAAAAGCGATCATAGGCGAATAATCAGACTGAAAGAGACCTGGGCGACTACCCGCTCACCAAATACGGGCCCTGACACTGCAATTATGCGATTGCCAGACAGTTTATATTCGCAGTGCTTATCGATAATTTCCACAAGTGGACAACGTAAATCACGGCCATGTTTGAACGAAAAAATGTGGAGCGTACTTCTTAAAACCAGTCGAAAGGCGATGGGGTTTTGCCAACATCCAACGAACAAGGCGCCGTTCCTATCATTGAAACGAAATGAATGCATTGGACATTTTTAATATGCAACCTAAGTCTACGAAGCAGCATAAGGTAGAGATATCGAAGTTAGAATTGGAAGTTTGTATACCTAGTTGATTCAGACTGTCAACGATGACATGCTCCATTCAGATGACATTCATCTTTTCGGAATCGCCATCACAGCAACTCGACACTTCTGGCGATCAGTACGACGTGTTCAGACGACTGGCACTAGCTACTCATGGTGATCTGCTGGTTGTAGATAGAAGTGATGTGGCCAAGGTAAATCAATATTTTCTTTGGTTTAGTCCAATGAGTACAACAACGTCAGGAGAACTATCATTGGAAATTAAGTCGGTGTCCGAATTTTCAGTTTATTCTTTATAAGTTATGTATTATATTTTTTATAAGGTATTGTTTACTCAAGGAATTTTAGATTTTCAAAGCATTTTTGCTACTCATAATGAACAGTCATCTTTCAAATATTGTCATCCTTTCTTTGTCGTCATACTTTAGCGAATGATTTTTTAATTGAGGTAATGACAGAAGTTCTAAGCAATTACCACAAGATGGAAAACGTTGCCGTCCGTTACAATTTTGTGAGCACTAATCAATTGAGCATACCGGAGAAGTATTCATCACTGGACGAGACAAAACTTCTGCTAACAATTGATAAGAATGACGGTCTGTGAGTTCCTTGCGAGATATTTTCAAAGAAGAGTAAATTCTTCGATTACAGAAAATCCTCCCCTCTTCACTAATCCTCATCTATATGACCAGACCGGTACGCTCCTGAAGACCGCTTCAGAAGGGACTTACTATTCGGTATGTGCAATTCCCATTATACTTTGACACCTGTGTACAGTGAGATTCCACGTTAACATTACCATCCGTAAATAACAAGTAACCGCTGATGGAGGAAAAACATAGTATCGCAAAGGGCCATCATAGTTGCGCCCTGCAAGAAACCTAGAGTCTAGAAGGCGATCGCTATGACCCATCCTGACCCATATCCTACGTGAAACTTGATCACAACCTCAATCTCATTAAGTCTACGATATGTATGCCTTTGAGTGGAAATTGTAGAGTGTTGTCAATGAGTTCGTGCAGGCAATTTCCCAAAGTTCTCTCTGTACTTGCTGTTTGTTCGCGTACAGTACGAATAGGCAGTTATCATCAGCTACATGTTTATGTAATCACTAAATGATTTCAGTTTTATGTACTTCCACCAACGGTATCATTTATCCGCTTGTTGTCACCGGAGGGATTGACCTGCTCTCTGCGAGCGTTCGTTAACTCGGATAGCACAATGCTTCTCAGCTATACTGATAACTCTGCGATCGATATTGGAAATGGCATCCGATATAAAGGTAAGTAAATAATGTGTACCAACAGAAAAGAACTGTACCTGTAGGCTTTGGGGTGGTATACGGTAGTGGCGTAGTGGGCAAAATGAACCCCCTGACAAGGTGGCTTTAGTAGGAAGCCAATCAGCGTTTGAGCATGGTTCCTCTTTCTTTTCTCTTCAAGTCATTTCATCTTTTCTCAGCTTGCTTTTGTTAAGTACACAGTCCTGGCTTACTCGTTGATCAGGCGCAATATAGCCTTCAAGGTTATATAGATTAATAAGTAAATGAGTAAATATCTTTTGTTAACTGACACATCGTTACCGATGACTCAATATGCCAATTTACTTGAACATGGTGAACTAACAGGATGTGTCTGGCAGTAGTATCATCAAGCATAAGGCAGGGACGGCATAGCCAAAAAAAAATCAGCTTTACATAGGGTCTATAATTAATTATCAATCCCAAAATCCCAAATCACGCAATAGCCAGGGATCGAAATTTCAAATCGACACAAAGTAAAGTTTCATATCAATTTTCTCTATTTCTTGGTTTCCTTTGTTCATGTCAGCCGAAGGCTCTCCCAATGGCTGTTCTGATCTTTCTTTGTATTGTTGACTGACCGATATACAAATAAACAAATAGAGATGACGACTGCCTTGGAACTCGAGCACGTCATTGAAGCCTTCCTTTCAGGCATTCCACAGTTTGCCACCGGTCTCCCAATCGAATTTCCTCGTTCTTCTACGGTACAGATTCAGCCATTGGACTCAACCTATGGGTTGCCAGTTGGAGTAGGGTCACTTGGCAAACAGAGAACTGGGGACAGCACATACTCTTTTATTTTCGCCAGCGACGATGACTGTCCTCCGGGGCCTTTTATGTGTGTGAACTTTTTAATTTTCATTTCCCCTTCCAGCTGATAGTTACTTAAGTTCATCGATACCAGTCCACATTTCAGGCAGTCAATTCAACTCTTCGACGGCCGTAAAACAATGGTTCGGGTGCTGCCAGGGTATTGCGCATTGATAGGTAAGTTTTGACTGATCTTTCTTTTGAGCTCATAATAATCTTTTGAAATCATGTTGTATCTCTTAAAGAGGCAGTTTGAGCAAAAACCCTTAGATATCATGCAGGGTGGTACACATTACTTTTGATTTCCTCTGAACACTGTCTAAATTTAATCTTTTATTTGACGAAAGCATTAAAATGTGTGAGGATAGGACTCAAGCGACGAAAACTCGCATGACCATTCATTTCTTCCATGGGATCAGAAGCTCCAGCATGACTCCTTTTCAGTGTACCCCTCTCAGTAGTATTATACTTGTGATATGTATGGAGTAGTAGTCGAATTAATCGAATTTTGTTTTGTCTCATTGGGGATTTGCTTTGTGGAAAGGGGCGGCATTTACCCTTTGAAACCTTCAAACCATTGCTTTGAAACCATTACGAAGGGGAGGTGCTACTATTTTTTTTATTCTGGATTATTACATAAGACTCAACAGAGCTGTAGAGAGGTTAACGTATCCCCTCCGGTTACAGTCAGATCTGTTGTGTTTAGGCTTTCCAAAATAAATTGCTGATGCTTATAGTTCCACCTCCCTCGACGTCAACGAATAAAGAAGTTCAATCTGTGGCTGATGTCACCGGTGAGTGAAGAGTTCAAATTGTTACTGATGCCATGGGGGGGGGGGGGGGGGGGGGGGGNAATTGAAGGATATATAATTATGCTTACAACAATCCATATCCTGCTCGCATTTGACTTCATTCAGAGTTACGATATAGTCTTGCTAAGCGCTGCATGGGTAAGCTGTTGTTCCAAGTAGTGCCTTCAATGGTTCCTGACAGGCGGTTGAAGATAACTAAAGACGTGTTGCGGTATAGCTGGTTAGAAATCGCTGTTTCGTAGCTTTTCTGTGGTCTGTTTGTGGTCGGAGCTAAAGGGAGACACGGGAGTGATACATCTATCTCCAGCGTAGTGTGTAATATAGGCTTTTGTACAGCGAGGCAGGATTTCGTGAACATGTGCAAATAAAAAAGTAAGGGATAGACCTATTCAGAGGGCCAGTGTCTGGAGATGAACGTCAATGCGCGTGCGGATCCGAGGCAGCACGACTTCAGACAGGTGCCATTCTTCAGAATAATATTTTGCAATAGAACCTATTCGGTTTCAAAAAGTAATAACTAGTAAATAGTGGAATTAGCTTCATTTCGAAATCTTGATAAAGACTACTGGCTTATTTTAGTAGACCGGATATTCAGGTGATATTTGCAATTGAGAATAGCGCAGGGATGAGCCGAGCAGCTTTAAATCTTGCCGCAGTTGTTAACTCAACGATCAGTCAATTGGAAAGACCTGGTTATCCATCAACGAGACAGTACTCTTTGATTGAGTACGATGATACATGCGAGTTTGTTTGGATCTTCGCTAATCTTCATATTCCTTTGACCATTTCTCTGAAACTCATGTGCTGGAGCGTTTGCTCAATCATGAAGTTTTTTTTGAATGATGAATAGGCTGTTGTTACGAGGAAATTAGGTCTGCTGCATTTGGTCGAAGCACTGTAATCGAACGTACTTATGATGCTTCGCTGCATTTCTTCCTCGAGGTTCCCCATGGGGGCTCTCCTCATGTTTAGTTCTGAAATTGGGAAGCAAACTAAAAAAGCTAAATCCAACCAGTTTTTTTTTTGGAATACTAGGTGGTTTAGGAAGTTTATTAGAAGTCGAACAGGATGTCCAAATCATGAAGGATGGGTTTTTGTACCACTCGCCACGTTTTTTACATCTAGAAAGGAGGAATTCAAAGTTCAAAGCAAAGCCGTTGTTGTCCTGGTCAGCAAATTTTTTAAGGATTTTGGGTAATGTGCAGCGGTCTCAGTCTTGATTTCAATTTCCCGTAGTGAACAATCTCAAGACAAATTCACAAAAAAACGTAACAGGTTTCAAGCGGCAAGCTATATACGCTTCCCTTTTTTGTCTGTGGGAGTTAGCAAGGATCCAAATAACAAGGAAGGATGCAGAAAAACCGATTTCCAACAGACCAGCAGAATTTAAAAACGTTACCGACCATTTTTGTGATTTTCTGTAGAATTTGTTCCCTTTCACAGATGTGAGAATCATTTCGAGCACTTTTCAATGGGAGGAATTCCTCGAACAGTTCAAGTCTTCAATGAGTGTTGTGGCTAATAATGACAAACGTCTGAATCAAAGCTTATCGTTCGATGCTATCAACAAAGTAAGGGATTTATCTTCATTTGCATATGTCAACTCTTTATTTCTATAAATCTGAACGTAATTTTTTTTTGATTTATCCAATGTCGGGTATCACATCCTAATTTTATCGCTCGTTTACCTCTTGTCCCTTCTTATGGAAGTGTGGATAGAAATTCCGGGTTCTTTGATGTCACGACATTGACTTTCACTTCGCACCCGAAATTTTTTCAATTCCGTATTGAAGTTGTGAATCAATTTGTGAATGTGGTAGTTCAAACGAGTGGTACCATCTCTCTGAGTAACTTTTATGCCAATGATCAGTTTCATAACGAATGGAGGTCGTGAGTTCGGCAATCATTTAGCTGTTGCGCCAATTATGCTCAAAGTTTGGGCGATCTCGGAAACAATGGGGCATGATCTGTCTGAATGAATCTAGCATAGCACATATTTTTTTNTTTTTTTATCTTTGGTTAAATACTTTTTTTACTTTCCCATTTTCTTCAGTTTTTCATTCTGTCATCTTGGCTAAAGTTTATTGTATTAGTCTGCTCTCGATGAGCTGTGAACGTTGTTGTTCGTTTTCAGGCCTACGAAATCTCCATCCTTTCCCCCATTGTTCTATACCTTTTCACTTCCACGCCGCCAGTACAATCTAGTATCGATGCAAAGCCAATTTCCAAGCAAATGCAAGTAGGTTGCCTATCTAAATAGGCTACCCACGGAAAAGTTTTCTGTTCAAAAAAGTGAAATAATTTGGAGCATTGTTTTCTGTTTCCAGGTAAACCTTTTCACCCTTGGAGACGGTACTTCACTTCCTATTGGCGATCTAACATTTCACCAACGAGAAAGTGGCGGCCGAAATATACCAGTGACTGTCGACGGTCTCATTGGTGTAAGTGAAAATTATACTGAATTGAATATCTTATAGTGTTTGAAAGAAGTAGGACTGTCGATAATAACTTGTGTCTTCTCACAACTTGATCCTCAGCTACTAAACTGTGACGACGCATGGTGTTGTTACAATGTCACGGAATGACTGCGTGAAGATGGCTTAATCGGAAGGAGCGAGAGTGCGAAACGCGTGTGAACTAAGACCAATTTGAGTAAAAATGCGAAAAGGGGTTGGAATAAGGGGAGAATGAACAAGGTTATGTGATCATACTGGGCTTGAAGAGGACTCCACTCACCGTGGGCGGAGTGAGTGTGAATTGTGTCTGAGGGGTGCGCTTCGTTGCGCGCGTCCGTCGAAACTAGGTCACGCCGCAGCCGTCGCACGCGGCGAGTCGGCCCGCGATATTTGATGGACGTCGCAATTGTCACTGGGCCATGAGCTTTGCGTTTGGTCCACGGCAGTCAGTTCAAGAAGAAGATAACACAGACAAACGCAAATCATTTGCTCCAATGACACTTGGTGGTACTGTAATGTCATCTCGAGACCTCAGCGTGTTGCGCCGCGCGCGAAGTGGGCGGGGTGACCTACTTTCGACGGACACGCGCAACGGACGTTCTCCATGTCTGAGCTACAGCGTTCAAAAATGGAAGAGGTGCACGCAGCGGGCCTATACCAACACTGAAAGGAGAAGAGCCAGGCTTCAGTTGGGCCATCATGGTTCATAGATGAGTGAAATAAACTTCCCTATTCCAAGGCTGTTACTTGAAACGCTAGCCTTACTAGTAATTATAGGGACAGTTTACGATAAAAATGGGTCCTGAGCTTTCCCCCTGAGAATAACCAGTGGCCCCCAATGGTAGCAGGAAGGACGCTG